AGGACACATTTGTAATACCTTAACCAATAATTTTAAAAAAAGCAATCACCACTTTGTACATTAAAGTGCTGCAGATCTGATGACCACTCATGCCATACACAGGACTGAGGAAACAACATTTTGATAACTGTTTTGAGTTCCAGATTTACAAAGGTTATAACACGAAATCCAGGAAGCTAGTCTTGTCTTTCCCTTTATCTCCATGAGATTCTGTGGAAGATTTTGTTTTTTCATCTAGAAATAAGAGTAATAATGGCCATCTTTCTCACTCCTAAGGCCTGTTGTAAAGGAAAAGGTAAGACACTATTTGCAAAGATCCTTTGTAAAGTCATTCTATATGTCATGACTTGCTGGACAACTCTCTAAAAAAACCACATTTTGGGTTTCAAAACACCTTATCCATTTTTGCTAACACAGGAGAGCTGGAAGAATTGACCCTCAACACTATTCAAACTTTATGATTAGATGACAATATGACCTTCCAATAAAGAAATATTTAGCTTTCTTTCTCTGTAGAAATTACTGTGTAAACCCAACACTTATTAGTCACAGAATTAGTTTTAAAATAATTTCACTACTTCGCTAGCCTATTACTAGTATATAATCAATAGATGGGTGCATTGGTTGATTTATAGGACCTATGGATTAATAGGGCACATATTTTAAAAATATAAATATAATGATTTATTACCTTGCACATCCTAAAATGTCAGGTAAAATAAACACAGAGAATGGGAGTCCAGGATAAACTGGGCCCGTGGTATAGGATGAACTCAGAATTGATACCTCAGGAAACAGTGCCTCTTAGTTGAGGTTCCTACACCCCAAGCCTTGAGCTCCGACCTCCTTACCTGGCTCCCTTTTCAGTGCTGTGGAGGAAGCTTCAGGGAGTCCATCTCCATCAGTAAATTCTGCAAAGTCCTGACTGTCGATCACTGCAAATATTAGAAGAAAAAGAAAACACCCTAGTGTCTTGGGGGTGGGGACACATAGCCCCTGGTTGGAAACTCTTCATGAGAATACTAGGAAGACCTAGAAGCCAAGTTAAGTCAGGTCCCTCTGGTCTGTGCCTGATGTGCGTGTCCTGCAGGTTGCTCCAGGTCCTACCCAGAAGGTGGTGAAGTTCATGCACAGAGGGCTGCTTTGCCCATCCTGCAGCACTTTTTTAACCCCTCCCCACTTGCTCAATCTGCTATCCCCATCCACATTCTTCCTCAACTCAGATCTTCACTTTACCTCTTATCTCCATTCTTTTTCTATCTATTATCTCCACCCTCAGTCTACCTCTTTCTTTCTTTCTTTGCATCATTTCAAACATATCTAAATATTTACTAAGCTAGAAAGATATTTCAGAGAGAAGTATACATACTAAAGCCAAACTTTAGAAATGGCATCAAATTATATATTTTTAATATTTTTATTTATTTATTATCATTTTACATTTAATTTATTGGTTTGCACACTGCATCAATTGCACATCTCCCCAAGCAAAGTCTCTTGGTTCAATTCATTTTTGCTAAATATGCCTGTTTCTGACAAAGGTATCTCTTTATGCCTTTCCTTGTCTTCATTTGGGTGTGTGTTTTTTTCATATCCTTTCATGAATATCTTGTCTTTCTGAAATATTCCCTTTTCTTTAACCCTTACTGCAATACCTTCCTCTCTTTGAATATAGAAATATACTCTCTGATATCAATATTTAAAGTTCCCATTTCTGTTTTGGATATTTTTTCCAATTACTAGGGACATTTTTCTGTTGATCTCAAACTATAAGGCACTTGTTCCTTCCCCTTTCTACCTCTAACCAAGGTCGCCAGGACTGTTTCCATGGGCCCTGATGACATGTCCCAGACCCTTGCCTGGTACTGGGTTTTACATCACACATTCTTTCAGTCAGCCTTACCTATTACGTCAGACGCCTGGTTACAGTCAGTCCTTGCTTGGGCTTCACATTTAACTCCTGAATTTAAACATGGCTTTTCCTCCTTTATATGCACTGTGTTTATAGAGCAGGAACTGGTTTTGTTTCCATGGTGGAGTAGCTCTGCTCCTGGACAAAATTGTAATAAATGAAGAATTTCATTTGCCTTCCCTAAGGGAGTGAGCACCCTCACGACAACCAACAAGCCCTTCTCCCTCTAATTCCACTGCAGAGGAAGTCTCCCCCACTGCTGTCTTTCCTGCTCCTCAACTGTGTCCTTTCTTTGTGTCTCTCTCTTTTTTAAAATGTTTTTATTGATTTTTAGAGAGAGAGGGGAAAGGAAAGGGATAGAGAAGTAGAAGCATCGATGCAAGAGTAACATAATTGATCAGTTGCCTCCTGCACACACCCCTATTGGGGATCCAACCATCAACCTGGGCATGTGTCCTGACTTGGAATGGAACCAGAGACCTCTTGGTTCCTGGGTGGACACTGAGCTACAATGCCGGGCAATTTGTGCCTCTCTTAATTGTACATGTTTTACTATCCAGGGGAGAGGACTGTTTTTATCTGAGTGGGTTCCAGGGCCATTTTTATTTTATGGACACATTTCCTTCTTAATGGTGTTAGGAATATCCCTTTGTGCCTTCTTTGTGGTGATTCTCAAATCAGACAATGCTTGGCCCTCTCTCTCTACCTGGTTCACTCTCTGCCAGGTCTTCATTCATTGTCCTTTACTCCTTCTCGACATAGCTCTCTTTGCATCTCCCCCTATTTTTTTCTATTTATTGCTATTATTGCCCCCTGCATTTTTCTCTCTTCCTACTTCTTTTCTACAGTACTTCACCCTAGACCCATTAGGGTCTAGGGCAGGGGTCCTCAAACTTTTTAAACAGGGGGCCAGTTCACTGTCCCTCAGACCTTTGGAGGGCCGGACTATAGTTTAAAAAAAATATGAACAAATTCCTATGCACACTGCACATATCTCCTTTTGAAGTAAAAAAACAAAACGGGAACAAATACAATATATGTATTTGCATGTGGCCCGCAGGCCGTAGTTTGAGCACCCCTGGTCTAGGGTGAAGTACTGTAGGTGCCCAGGACACAAGAAGTTCTTGAGAGTGAGATCCCCCTTGCATGTGGACCTCCTGGATTTTTTCAGTTTATCCATTCTCTGTTAAGTTTTCTATTTTCTTCTTTTCTATTTCTGTTTCTTAATTATTCCTGTGAACTGTGAATGCCTTTTCTACATCTATTTTGTCTTTCTTTACATTTGTCTTTCTAGCATTCAATCATCACCACAATCTTCCCTGTGCCTTAACCCACAATACCAAATCCCTCCCCCTGCCAGTTCCCCTCCACACTCATCAAACCCAGCCAATCAGTCTTACCTGCTGTCTTTGACTCTTGGGCACATTGTTCATTTGCTTGTTGGCTTTTTAGTGCATCCTCATTGTCACTGGTTGTATCTGTTTCAGTTGCATTTATCTCTTGTGTGTCATGGCGGTGCTCTAAGGGTCCACGTTCAGGTGGGGCTGTATCTAGACAGGAAAATACAAAGCTCTCTAAGCTTTTGGATCAGAGGGAATTTAATCCAGGGGATTAGTTATACAGCTGATGGTAGAGCTGACAATTCCAAATGCAGGAATTTGGCAACCCAAAGAATAGTCAACAGGAAGCTATGGGAGGGATCTAGGGTGAGCTCATGTATTAAGGTCACTGGATAGGTGGAAGCTGAACCATGGCTGGACTGGTTGGTGGGAGGTAGAGTCATGGGAGATGTGGACAGTGCCAGAATTACTGCCCAAGACTGTGATGGGGAAATGCCATGCTTCTCTCTTGCTCCCCCCGCCCCTCCTCTCTCTTGCTGGTACCACCCAGGTTAGGAGCTCAGCAGGAAGCAGTAGCAAGGGAGATGACAAACAAGTCTGAAGAGTCTGTGGCCAGAGATAGAGGGCAGAGCAGAGCAGGAACCCATAAGGAATGAATCCCTGAGTAAACCACCCAGGACCAGCATACCTCCTTTTCCACGGTGAAACTCCCCTGCCCATTTTTTATTCCATCAACCCACCCTACTCTGTTTCCATCAACCCACCCTACTCTGTTTCCATCAACCCACCCTACTCTGTTTCCATCAACCTCACTAGAGCATGAAAAGGTAAATATTTTTTCAGAGCAACTTAGATTTTTTTTCATTTAGTGCTATTTTTCTAAGCAAAATAATTTATGTAAAGATGATTTCAATAGTCATTCCCACAATTAGCATAGAACCTGGGCCCTGGTGCATGTTTTGTGCCACATCTACAGTTCCTTGGAGCCTCCTCTTGGAGAAGGGGCCTGAGGCATAGCTTTTCCCTTACCTGTGCTGGTCACAGTCAACTGTCCCAGCTGAAACAGACACTTAACACATTTATTGGTGGTTTGTTGTGCATCATTAGAGTTATAACATCATTTTCTCCTCCCCCCACACCTAATACTTGTGCACACACACACTGAATCCCTTCTCTGCTCATTATTCATCATTATTCCTTCCTTTGACACCTCCCCATACCCACCAGCTACCCTTGTAGGTGAACTGCTAAGAATATGGATTGATGCATGTTAGATATTTTATATTCTTAAATATTAACTTTTTTTCCCTAAATGTTAATAGCTAAAACTATAGTGGTGCTTTCAAAACATTCTGAAGGTTTTTTTTTCTTTTATAAAAACATATTACTAATTTAGAACATCCTTTCTTAAATAACACATCCCAGTGCCAGCTACATGATAATGACTTCTATGGTGTTTTTAGAGCAGCTTCAGGCCTGCTGTCCTAGAGATGATGGGAGAGGGTTTGCTCAGGGGGCACATGGCACCCATGGTCCTGTGTGAGGGACCCAACAGGTGAAAGATCCTGGCCTAGGGGGAACACACTCATCACCACTACCCAACCACCCTCATGGCAGTGTTGGCCACCACTGGACATAATGTCAAAGCAAGGCTGCAGCCAGATTCAAGCAAGACAGAGACAGAAAACTGTGAAGCCAGGTGCATGGGCATTACGTCCAGGCCTAGGCTATCAGAAGCTGGAAGCCAGTGCATTTCAGGAGTATGGAAGGAGCGACCCTCCCAGGCAACCAGAAAAATGAAGACTCTGTTATCTAAATCCTTGGAGATATTGTCAATGCAAAGACTAACTATTCTGGGCAATTAGTACTAAAAAGAAGCACCCCCCCTGCCCCCCCCCCCCCCCCCCAAAACAGATGAGACAAAAACAACAAAGGGTCACAGAACAGTCAACAGGAACAGACCATTGTAATTCCAGGCATCTGGGCCTAACCACATCAGTCTTTGATATGAACTACCACCAGTTCCTGGGGGAAGAAATGAAAAGTTTATTTCATTAATTGAAGTATGGGCTATGCCATTCTCCCCTAATCTCATTTAACTTTTATAAAGTAGGAGTTCAAGATCCCTTCCCCCAGGTATCAATACAGAGCCCATCTGGACCTGGAGGATCCCACCCAACTCTTGCCATCAGCTGCCCTCTGTCCTCAGCCAGGCCATCTCACTGAGATCATCCACAAGCCACTCAGTAACCAGCAATGGCTTTTGTTGTCACCCACGGCCATACGGAATCTGTTTCTGTTGCCAGGTATACCCCTGATTGGTAGACTTATCTGACTTCCTACAAAATCATGTCTCCTTGTCCAAGCCTCCTTCACACCACACCTTCCATATACATGTCTGTTTCTCTGTCTTGTTGGCCTTTTTATGAGATTCAATGTACTTCTCCTATGTTTCCTCTAGCTCCTGATATTCTTCTTTCTGTATCTTTCTCTCTGCACATGTTTCCTTTCTTTTGACTAATAATTCTGTCTTTTCCATGAGCTTATCTGGATGTGTATAGGGTTAAGCACACAAGTTCTAGGTTCAGGAAGCCTTGATTCATCTTACTTCTTTGACTCCAGGCCCACTACATACAGGGCCTCTGAGATTTCAGTCTCCTTTTCTACAAATGAACAGAGGTTGATACTTCTCCCCAAGGGCAGCTGTGAGCACTAAGCCCACAACTGCCAGGTAAATGGTCTATAAGTGAGTTCTTAGTATTATGGTTGTTGTTATTGTGTCCTTTAACCCTTTTTCATATCTTCCATTTCCCCTCCTTTTGTCTCTCAAAATACCCACATCCCCTCCTGCACATCTTACCACTTCCTCTCTTCCCTCCCTATATGACTGCCCATCTCCTTGACTATTTCTGCTCTTGAACAGCATCTCCCACATTTAAATCAGTCCCTTCTTCTACCATCATCCAGAATATCTGTTCTGATGTTGACCTTGTGACCATAGTTCTTAGCCCTTCACAGCTCCACACTCATCTTCTCCTGCAGGGTCTCTCTAAATCAGTTACCTCCAGGTCAGCATCATCTTTTAATCTGATTTTCTGACACATGGGTTCCCATTTCTCTGTCTTGGTTATTGGTCCCAGAATCTCTTGTCAGAGCTCCTCCTCCAGGATCAGCCCCTGGTCAGACTCTCATACAAACAGCCCTCACTGCCTTTTCTATGCTCTTGAACAGGTCTTCCCTGATTCCCAAACTCCACTCAAGACTCAGCCCCACTTCCCATTCTCCTTTCCTCTCAGCAGAAGAGAATCAGTTTCTATCTGTTTGCAATCACCTTGTTCCAGGCTTAGTTGATCATTAGGCCTCTCCTCATTTTCTTCTCCATCACTTTCTAGGAGGAATTCTATGTCTGGTATGGCTGAAGAGAGGGCAAGAAAAGAAGATAATTAGAGATCTTTATGGAACAAGTGTCATCTGAAATTACACGCTTAGGAATTTCCAACCCTTGGGTCACTCATTATTCAGTGGGTCCCAATCCTGTTGGTAATGGTTCCTCTTCATTCCTGGGTCTGAAAGTGAATGATTTTGTTAAGTAGCTCTTATGCTTCCCACACAGAAAGGAGCCACTTGAATTTCAAGATAAAAGAATTGTGGCAGCATCATGAGCTTGTTACTCATGTAAAAAATTTCAGCTGGCCAGGAAAGCATATATCAAAATAAATAATGTACTATTTATTTTGAAATGTGTTTACTGAACTGTTTTAACTGTAAAGAAAAAGAGAGGGATTTCCTTATGAGGAAAACAAAGAGGTTTATGTGTGTAAAAGATGATAAAATTCCAAATCTTTAAAAATGTGGCTGGACAAGAGAAGGTTTTGGTTTAACTGAGTCATGGAGGATAAGTGCTTCCCAAAGAGACAAATCAGAGAAACATGGGGCCAATTAGAAAGATTTCCCAGGGGCACCCAGATCCCAGGACAAAGGAAGGGAACTCTTTGAAGATGAAAGCAGGGTTTGAATATTATGGCACAGGCAGACATCCCAAGATACCTGGAGCAGGGATTTTGGAAGGCTACCAAAAAAGGGAGAACACAGCACCAGCCTTGGGCCCCTGCATGTAGGTAGCTCAGCAAACATATGGAGGAAGGTAATACAGCAGTAATCCTTGGTGCAAGTCTCTGGAGGCACCCGGGCAAGAAATGGAGGGAAGCGGTTAGACAATATGCCTAAGGGCTGATGGCAGGGGTACCTCCTGGGGCAATAATCCTGTACTTATTAACCATATAAACCTGTACTCTCTCTTTACTGTGTGGTAAATAACATCAAATTACTTAATTTTTGAAGCCAGGATTTCCAAAATCTTCTTTTATACTTATCCCATTTGAATAAACTCCCACAATCTGCTTCTCACTCTGAGATTAATTTAATTTGTCCTTGTTCTGCAGACACATGGACTCCTTAACACTCTATGCTTGCTCCCATGGCACTATATTCCTCAGTTCATATCATTTTTTTCTTTTCAACTCTCCAGCATTACTTGGAGATCTTTTTGAGACCAAAAGTATGTAGAATAAAAAATTTTTCTAGGCAAGTCAAACAAAAATTATTGGAGGACATCTTTACTGAGAACCAATAAAAAACATGAAATCATGCCTACTCAGGGAAAAAGTAGAGAATCAAATCAGTAATATTGTATAGTATCAAAAACCATCTCTGGCCAAAACCGGTTTGGCTCAGTGGATAGAGCGTCGGCCTGCGGACTCAAGGGTCCCGGGTTCAATTCCGGTCAAGGGCATGTACCTGGGTTGCGGGCACATCCCCAGTGGGAGATGTGCAGGAGGCAGCTGATCGATGTTTCTCTCGCATCGATGTTTCTAACTCTCTATCTCTCTCCCTTCCTCTCTGTAAAAAATCAATAAAATATATTTTTTTAAAAAAACCATCTCTGGCAGAGCAATTGGTTTTTTGATTATTTGATTGTTGATCACACCTCTTGTAGAGAATCAGTTAATAAGACCATTTCTACTTCCTAAAGAGCAAATTTGACCTTGCTCACTACTCTGGAAACCTGATGTAGGTGGCCTTTCTTCTGTGTTAACAGGCCAACACTGAGCTTAGAGTTAAAAATGACCAGTGACTGCAGGTAGGTAAATTTCATGTGGCCTGGGAGGGACTAGATGTTAACTATAATCCATTTTTGTCTTCCTTCAACGTGGTGACTGTTGTAACTCAACTGTTCCTTGAGCCATCTCTAAAAGTTATGTCCACAGAGTTGTTCCATGAGATATTGACACCCCTGTGCATGCTGTAGCTAAATCAGGGTGGATCCAGAACCCATATCTAAGCCATCACTTGAGGCAGGTTGTATTCAACTTTGTGGACTGCTGTGTGGAACTTTGCAAATGGTCCCATAGAAGAGGAGCAACTAATGCTTCCCTTTGGGGATGTTGTGTTTCTCGTCATGTGTTCTTCTAAGTAAATCTGATGTCCCTATGGCTCTGGTCATCCTGTGACTCTAAATGCCTAGTTAAGCAGATTATCAGCTGGGTGTTTGTATTCTAGCCATTATATTATAAACTTTGAGAGGCTCATTATATGTCTTTTCTTAACTGCTACATCCACACTGCCAAGCACCTTGTGTGACACATGGTAGACACTCAATACATACCTGTGGGAATAAATTGACCCTGGACATAAAAAGATAGGTAATAAACCTAATTACCTTTGTAGAATATTTTATAAATTCGAAATAAATTGGGGTAATTCTTCATGATGGTCTTGCTGAACAGTGCTCCCAGAAGAGACATGTCAAATTTCTTCTCCAGTTCACTGAGAACATCATATATGACTTCATGTACAGAAAACCGTTTTCTAAAAGATTCTTGAGAATTCTTAAAAATAGTGAATGGAGGAAACATAAATACAGACTTCCAAGTTACAGAAGAGTCCTAGAATGTGATTTTATTGTTAATGCATAATAATTTTCCAACATAGGTATCTTCTCACATACAGGTTTAGAATTTCTCTATATTTGTCTGGCTACTAAGTGGAACAACTAAATCCTTCCTCCTAGAAAGCACCCATTTGTGAATCTGAGCTCCTCACCCTTGTTTACATGAGATGAACTAAGGAGCCATTAGGAAGAACAAAAATAGTTTCAAGTGAAGTAATAGGTAGCCCTTTCAGGGCCTGGCTAAATGTTTTAGGAATAGACTTAGTGGGTGATGAGGTGCTATTCTATTGACTGGACAACCCTTGTCCCTTCCCCGGGACTGACTTGGCTTGGAAGCTCCTGTGAACTTTGCCATAGAGAAAGCCTATGCATAGGGAAAGTGAAGACTTGCATCTCTGTATCTCCACCTATGTCTTTCACTAAAATTAACCTAAATTCTAAGACTCCAGAAATACCAAAAGAAAAGGGAAAAAAACAGAAAGGAAACTGAAAACTGTTGTTGAAAGAATAGCAAGCATCTACTTTCAAATTTGTCCCACATTAATTCTCTGTGGATCTTAATTTTCTCTGTATTAAGCATTTAAATTGATGTTCACTGAAATGAAATGTTATGTCAATTATTATTTTATTAAATGAAGTCATTCAACTTATTCAGCCATTCATTAATATTATGTTTAATTCCTAGTTTATATTATACTGTATATATAATTTCTAGAATGCATTGTACACCCACTTCAGATCCAGCCTATCTCCAGTGCTTTTCGCCCAGCTCTAGAGGGCACCATGGAGCCCGTTACTTCAGTTAGAATCAGGACTATCTCCAGTAATGACTGCTTCTCTTCTCCCTTTTGACCTTATAGGAACACTTAGTAGCAGTACTTGGGAAGGTCTTCACTCATAGGAGACTCCTCAGTTGCCCAGTTATGCTCTGATGTTTAATTCCAGGATATCAAAGTATAACTTGGTTTGGGGTTGTTTTATCAGATTATGACATAATAAACCTCACTTACTTCATACATTTCATTGGTGATGAATTGATGGTCACGGAGAAGTTCAAGGAAAGGAAATGTTGTTTTTATTGCGTCTGAAATCTCCACCTTATATTTTTTGAAGTATATGAGTGCAATGTCATTGATACGTTTGTTTTCTATGTTCTCTTCTTCTGCAGACATCCTAGGGAGAAGCGATAACATGATAAAATGGCCATCAAGGTTTTGATATGCTGTAACATTTTATATATGAAGGAAAGATAGGCTGTGAAGAACCAACATAATTAAAATAAGTGGTCCTGAGTAAAGATTAGAACAAATAGAATGGAAGCAATAGACAAAACTATAAGAAAATGAAGCATGGTGGATTAGAAAGACATAGTAGTTTTGAAAAATGCAAGCCTGTCATGATCAAAGCCATTGTAAAGCAATTTTGTACTAAACATACTGCAATTTTTTATCAAAACGTTTTAATTTGTACGAAAGTGAGATGGACTAAACAGGTCATCCACAGAGGAATATGAAACAATGGTATAACAATAAAATGTAAGCTTAAAAATGTATCTGAATTAACAACTAAGAGAAAATAAATCTCAAAAAGATAAAAACATGGTGCTCCCTCCCTGACCTACATCAGTTAAGAGGAATAGCATCCTGAATTTTAAAACTAGTTCATAAATGATAAGAAGTGGTTTAATAATTATATGATAAAGCATAAACTGAAATTTCACATGAATATCAATAATTTTTCCAGGAATTTCTGCTTTATGTTAATATATATCTGTGCTATTGTTGTATAAGATGAATCTTTTTAGACATCTTAATTTCAGAAGTGGCTGCTGTTTCCTGTGAAAGTAATTGTAAACCTGAGTCTATAATTCTGCTTCTTAGTTGAATAGTTTATTTCTTTGGTAATAATGTTTTGTTTTTTAAGTATATTTTTTATTGATTTCAAAGAGGAAGGGAGAGGGAGAGAGAAACAGGAACATCAATGATGAGTTAGAATTATTAATTGGCTGCCTCCTGCATGTCCTCCTACTGGGAATTAAGCCTGAAACCCAGGCACATGCCCTGAACGGGAATTGAACCTTGACCTTCTGATTCATAGGTGGATGCACAACCACTGAGCCACGTCGGCTGGGCTAACAATAATGTTTTAATAGGCATTTTGTATTCCTAAATCATGAAGACTCATAAGCTTCCTTTTTGGAACCAGAAGAAAATTATTGGCTCTTTCCAGTACCCAATATGCATCAGGGAATAATGATGTCACATTATTTTGTCAAATTCTATAAAACAACAATTTCTTGTTTAAAGATAGGAGAGAAATCATTTGTGTTTCTCTCTTATTAAAATGCCACTAAAATGATAATTAAAAAATTGGCTTCACAATGACAAATAGAATGGCAGGGGGCAATGAGTAAATGAGAGATTTCAACAAAAAATGGTCAGAGGAGCATAATTGTTACTGAAAGTAGAGGTTGCTCCCTGCAGTCATGAAGGCAACCAGTTTGCCCTGTGGAATCTTGAAGGTGGTGGAGTGAAAGGGACACATGGTGCTGAACACTGATGTGCCATTTGAAAAATGAAAAATGGGGAAATGTCCTCTCAACTAGCATCCTGACCACCTGGAGCCAAGCAACCTCTCTGTTGCAAACATTGCTCTTCTTTTTATTATCATACTTTCCTGTCACCTATGACTAGATTTCATAAGTGGAATAATACATCATGTATGCTTATATGTCTGAGTTCTTTTGCTCATCATTCATGTTGTTGGGTGACTGGAATTTTGTTCCTCTTATTGTTCAGTGATATTTCATTGTGGAATCTAATGAACAGCATAAACTGATGAACACAAATAGACCCAGAGACATAGAAACATCAAACAGAATATCAAATCCCAGAGGGAAGGCAGGGGAGGTTGGAGGGGGAAGGGGCGCAGAGAACAACCAGTGAACTCATATGCATATATGAATAACCCATAGTCACAGACAACAGGGTGGTGAAGGCTTGGGGTGTGTGTGGGAGAGGGCAATGGGGGGTGGGGGGAAGGAACATATGTAATACTTTCAACAATAAAGATTTTTTTTAAAAATTTAAAATAAATAAACAAAAGCAGAAAGAGTATTTAGTTATATCCATAAATTAATTCAAAAAAAAAATTGGAAATACCTAGCAGCAATTTTTAGAAAAATTATATGAAACAGATGGAAGCTGACCCGATATAAAATCTTCCAAAATGACAAACACAACAGTAACCATTGAAATGATGAGGACATTCATATAAAAAAACAGTGATGCCTACCATTACCACAATTTACATATATATAATTAATATATACATATTTATATGTTTTAGATAATGTACTAGGATAAGAAAATGAATGTATTGATATAAATACTAAAATAAGATACAACATTATATGATACTAGAGGCCCGGTACACGAAATTTGTGCACAGTGGGGAGGTGTCCCTCAACCCTGCCTGCACCCTCTCCAATCTGGGACCCCACGGGGGATGTCCAACTGCCGGTTTAAACCTGCAGTCAGACATCCCTCTCACAATCCAGGACTGCTAGCTCCTAACTGCTTGCCTGCCTGCCTGCCTGATTGCCCCTAACTGCTTCTGCCTGCCAGCCTGATCGCCCCCTAACTGTTCCCCTGCCAGCCTGATCACCCCCTAACTGCTCCCCTGCCAGCCTGATTGCCCCCAACTGCCCTCCCCTGCTGGCCTGGTCACCCCCAACTGCCCTCCCCTGCTGGCCTGGTCACCCCCAACTGCCCTCCCCTGCTGGCCTGGTCACCCCCAACTGCCCTCCCCTGCTGGCCTGGTCACCCCCAACTGCCCTCCCCTGCTGGCCTGGTCACCCCCAACTGCCCTCCCCTGCTGGCCTGGTCACCCCCAACTGCCCTCCCCTGCTGGCCTGGTCACCCCCAACTGCCCTCCCTTGCTGGCCTGATCTTGCCCCCAACTGCCCTTCCCTGCCGGCCTAATGGCCCCCGGCTCCCTCTCCTGCCGGCCTGATCACCCCCAACTACCCTCCCCTGCAAGCCATCTAAGGCGGCCATAGGGGGCCTGAGGGAAATGAGAGGGTTCAAAGGTCATAAGAAAATAACAAATCATTGCCTCAAAGCATCAGAAACGACAGCCCAGTCCAGATGGCCCACAGCTGAGCAGGAGCTGTAAGACAAGAGTCCTGTGGGTTGTGGCAGCTACACTTACACCAGCAGCTGTCCCTCTGCAGTTTAAAGAGATCCAATTCCTTCACTTCATTACATTTCATTACATTGCACGACAGTGTCCTTGTAAAATAGGATGGATGTCAAGGTTTAGACAAGTCTCTAATAACACACACTAAAGCAGCAGCACAGCCAGACAGAAAGTTAAAGGGAGAGAGAGACTGACCTGGTGCTGAGGTCGCTGCCCCTACTGGCCATCGTCCTGCCCCGGGCCCTGCCTGGACCACTAATCCTTCCAGTCTCCCCAGCCTGGGTCTTTGTGGCTGCTGATCCCTGAGCAGGAAGTGAGTGAACTCACCCAGGGAAGGCTCCACCCAAACGGGGAAATGAGAAGTGAAAGTAACTTTTTGAGTGTTTTCAGACACTGTCTCCCTCCTCCTGCAGCCTAGGGGGATGGGGGGGGGATGGGGAGGGTTGGGGGGGTGGTTTCCTCAGCCATCAGGACATGTGGCAATAGGAGTGAAGGACAAGGAGGGACAGGAGGTCCTGGAGGCCAGGGGAGGAGGACCCCAGGGGAGGAGCAGGACCAACCCCCAGGAGTCCCCTTGCTTGTGCAAAAACATGAAAAACACCTGTAAATCCCACTGTCCTCACCTACTGCAACTTTCTAAGAGGGTGCAGAGACGTAACTCTTTAGGTCTCAATGTTCAGAAACAGGACTGGAGAAGCAACATTCTTGAGAGCGATGGTTTCCACATTTGTTCCCCTGAGCCCGACTTCCCGACTTCTTCTGGCTATAAATAAGGATTCTCGCCCTGTTTCATTTAACACACAGAGGAAGGTTCTACCCTCTCTCCATGTGCTTTTTCTTTTCTCCCAAAGGAGCAAACATCAAATCTGGACAGATTGCATACACTGATGAGAAAAATATTTTTAACAAGAGCACAGGGTCTCAGTGTGACCCAAGTTCTGTACACAGGGGGATCTCTCTCTCCCTGCCCTGCCTCCTCTTTCACTTGGCCGGAAGAGGGACTGGTAAGCTGAGCCTTGGCTGAGCACAGCTGTCTTCTGTTCCCAACCTCCAGGGTGCTTGGGGCCCCGACAAAATTTGACACCAACAACATCAGCATTTTCTAGTGTCCTCTCTCTCCTCTGTCCCTAGGCAGCAGGCTGACTAGGCTTGGGTGTTGGCATAAATGTGCCAGCTTTTCGTGGGTTTGCTTAGAGTCACCAATATCACCACATGAATTGCGGACTGATAGCAGTCAACTGGCTAGGGAATCCACAGGGGCCAGCCTCCTGGGTGGATACCCCTGCACTGAGGCTGCCCTGGCCAAGGGAAGGACACATTCCTATGGGGCCAGAGAGAGCCAGGCAGCACCCCACTCTGTGAACAGCAGTAGTTTCTGTGGGAACTGGAGGCCTCTGTGGAGAAAGCAAAGATTTTTGTCCAGAAAACAATGTCAGACACACCCGGTTAGGAATGCGATGAGACCATCTTCAGAAGCAGGTTGAGCCCTGACAATCTGCTGGGCTGATATGGAGGATAAGAAGGGAGGGCCTGGGACATTGTCCAGGGTAACAGGGGCGCTGACAACAGAGACCATTTCTGTTGTCAGGAAGTACCTGAGCTAGGGGCTTGGAAACCTGGAGAGCAGGAGAGGCAGTGACTGAGGAGGGACAGGGGGTGGAGAAAACACCCAGGGGATGGGCTTCCAGCTTTCATTCAGATATCACTAGTGGGCTGAGTCTCCAGCCTGGGAGATCCTCTGGGGACAGGGTTTGTCACTGAGAGGAGGCAGAGTCCCGGACCTGAGAATTTAGGGGCAGGAGGAAGCGGCAGCAGTAGCAGCAGTAGCAGCAGCAGCAGCCACTGGGCCAGGATAAAGAGCTGGCACCTCTGCGGATGCAGAAATGGAGAGGAGGGGCACCTGGGACTCAAGTGGGAGCACTCAGGTCCCACACCAATGTCCCCTTCTGGGAGGTGTCCCATCAGTCAGCAGGACTCCTGGTCCCCCTGCCCTCCCTTCTTCCTGGGGAGGCACTGAGGCTGGGAGTTCTGTGAAGGTAAGTCTGCTCCTTTGTGGGTCTCCCTGGGCTCATCCTGCTGGAGGGGCCAGGGCTCTATGCTCCTCTGAGCTCCAGTGCACAGGGATAGCGGCCTGAGGTGTGGGGAGTGTGGTTAATTGGAGTAGCCTGGGGCCTTCAGGCTAAGTTCAATTCTTGGATTTAGATTTATGGATTCTTATTTGACACACATGTAAGCCATGGCCCTTGACCCAGCTTTAATCAGGATGAAAGCTGGTATTTTGATCCCCATCTCTTCTCACCTTTTTGCCTGTCAGTTGATTTGGAACTCAGGTGAGGTGACTTGGGGAGAGTTTGTACACAAAATTTAAGGATTTTCTAGGATTTCCCTCTTGCTTCCCCAGAAAATCTGGTTGCCTGTCTATGCCGACCATGGAAAAAGTGGACTCCCTACCAAAGTTTTGACCTCCCCACAGCCAGTGGCTGCTCTCTAGAGCCAGATGATAGTCAACTGAAAACATCTTGCATTGGTTGCTTCTGAGATTTGACTTCCCTCCACAGGGAAGCATCTTGTGCTGTCTTTGTTTATTTTCCAGGAGTCTTAGGCATTGTTCTCTGAATATTGTCTTGAGTTTCTGGCTGTTTCCCTTAAGAGGATGTATCATTAGGAACTCACTCCTGCAAATAAGAAGCAGAACTCTGTCTTTGCTTGGAAGCAGCAGATCAGTTCTTCCCACTCCCAAGCCCAGCCCTGCTTCTGGCTTCTTAGACCCCAGAAGTTCCAGTGTCCCTGAGCCTCTGCCTGCTAAGGAAGAGAGATGCTGCTGTGCTGTGTATTAGAGGCACACCTGTTAGATATACAAACCAGACTATCACAAACACACACCTATTTAGAGAGGGCTAGTTTAAACACAGGATAACAGAGAAAACAAAGAAAATAATATGCCTGGAGAAAATACATGTATTACTATAGAAGTTCATTTGGAGTTAATACTTAAAAACCACCTACATAAGTTGTTTCCAAAAAGCATACAGGAAACCACCATCAAAATTAAAAGGGAACCCACTGTATGGGAGAACATTTTTGCCAGGGATACATTTGATAAGGGGTTAATCTTCAAAATATATAAATTACTCATACAACTCAACAAAAGGAAGACAAACTATCCAATTAAAAAAATGGGCAGAGGACCTGATAGACACTTCTCCAAAGAGGACATACAAATAGACAAGAGACATACATTAAAAAAAATACTCAAAGTCACTAATCATCATTGAAATGTAAATTAAATGAGATATCACCTCTCATCTGTCAGAATGGCTATCATCAATAAATCAACAAACAACAGTGCTGACAATGATGTGGAGAAAAGGGAACACTAGTTCACTGCTGGTGGGAATAAAGATTGGTGCAGCCACTATGGAAAACAATATGGAGTTTCCTCAAAAAGTTAAAAATGGAACTGTCATTTGACCCAACAATTCTACTTCTGGGAACATATCCTAATAACCCCAAAACACCAATCAGAAAGAATATATATGCCCTTATGTTCATAGAAGCATATATATAATAGCTAAGATTTGAAAACAGCCCAAGTGCCCATCAGTAGATGAGTAGATTAAAAAAGCTGTGGTACATTTATACCATGAAATACTATGCAGCTATAAAAAAGAAGGATCTCTTACCTTTGAGACAGCATGGATGGACCTAGAGACTATTATGCTAAGTGAAATAAGCTAATAAAAGAAAGACAAATATCACACAATCTCACTTATAAGTGGAATCTAATGAACAAAATGAATTGACCAACAAAATAAGACTTGAGGCATGGAACAGACGGACATATCTCAGTGTGTGTCAGACACATATCTCACACACACTGGGGAGGAAGGGGGAGAGGGAGACAAGAAGAGATAAACCAAAGAACACATACTTATATGCATAGCCCATGGACACAGACAATAGGGTGGTGAAGGCCTAGGGGTGGGGTAGGGACTGGGCAAAGAAGGGTAAGGGGGGATGGGAGACATCTATCATACTGTCAAAAATAATATATACAATAGATAAAATAAAAAATATATTAAGACAATATTTTTTTCCTAAAGGAGGAGATTGAGTTATGGTTGTTGAATCTGTCCCCCTCCCCACCAAGGACTTATTTATGCAGCATCTCTTTCCAAGGGATTTGGGCCACAGCCTTCCCTCTGCCTTCTTCCTGCTTTAAATTTCCTGTGTATATAACAAAGAAAAAAAGAGCACCTAACTGTGCATAATTAAGAGTTCAGATCATGTTTTTACAATGTTAATTACATTTCATTTTAGCTTAAAGAATGTCCTTTAGCATTTTTTATAAGACAATTCTAGTGGTGATGAACTCGCTCAACTTTTGCTTGTTTGGGAAAGTCTATTTTTCTTTTATGTCTAAAGGACTGCTTTGCTGGATACTATACTTTTTTGTGTTTAATCCTCACCAAAGGATATGTTTTTTATTGATTTTTATTTGAGAGAGAGAGCTTGATGTGAGAAATGTTGATTGTTTACCTCCCATACACATCCCAACTGGGGATCGAACCTGAAACCTAAGTATGTGCCCTGATTAGGAATCAAACCCAAAACATTTGGTGTACAGGAAGATGCTCCGTCTAGCATGATCCACCTAGCCAGGGTCTAGAATATTCTTGGTTAACAGTTCTTTAATTTCAATATTTTGAATATGTAATTCCACTTTTTCTTGATCTGAAAATTGTCTGTTGAGAAATTTGCTGATAGTCTTATGGAGAACTCCCTTGTATGTGACAAGTCATTTTTCTCTTGCTGTTTTCAAAATTATCTCATCTTTGTTTTTTGACAATTTAGTTATAAAGTATGTCCTTGTAGACATGTTCAAGTTTAACCTATTGGTTCCTTTAGGCTTTACAAATATGGGTGTTTAATTCTCTCCCCCAATTTGGAAGTTTTCAATCATTATTGTTTTAAATAGACTTTCTGTCTCTTTTTCTTTTTGCCCAGGAGTCTCATGATGCATATATGTTTTTCTTGAAGAAGTTACCTAAGTCACATAGGCATTATTCACTTTTTGTTGTTGTTTATCCTCACCCGAGGATATTTTTCCATTGATTTTTAGAGAGAATGGAAGTAAGGGTGGGATGGGAAAGAGACAGAGAGACACATTGATTGGTTCCCTCCTACACACATGCTGACTGGACACAGACAATAAGGTGGTGAATCCAGGTATGTACCCTTGACCAAGAATCAAACTCAGGACCCTTAGGTGCTGAGGATGAGCTCTAACCACTTTGCTCCTCTGTATGGATAATTTCAAATAACCTATCTTCTCGT